TTTTATTGTGGTGTCTTCCTTAGCCTTAATTGAATGACCAACTATATGCTGTCATAGAACATTTTAGTGGATAAAAGGCTATGATGGAGTTGCTTATGTGTTCGCCAGCTCTCAGAAGTAAGAAATAATGAGCTCAAGGGCTCCATAAGTGAAATCTTCTTAGCTTTTCTAAAAGAAATTTTTATGTCTTATAGCCAAAGGAATTATACTCTAGAAAAACAAACTCAAAATCTAACCAAACCAAAATCTAAATTCTATGGATGGCTCAAACATTGCAAATTAAATTCCCAGCCTTGTAGACCTTATTTTAAATGGCAAAAATGGCCATTATTTTTGCATCAACCTAATAAAATTAAGACATCCCTGAAAATTGGGATGGGGACATACAAGTAGATTCTGATGAAGGTGATAATTTTGAACTCAAAATTCTGGCAGGTTGTCAGTCTACCCCTGCCTGAAGAACTATAATAGCCTCCCCTGAGGTAGTTGCTTTACAAGGGACTACTGTTCATTTTGACAATCAATTCTTACCACCTCTCATTGCTTCTAAATCTATAATCAGACTCAGGTGAAAGTAGACTCCAATGTGTGAGACACAAAGTTAGGAGCATCAATACACACCAAAATAATTGACTGATTTTGCCAACTTATGTAGACAAAAACTGGTGAACCTGTATGGGAATGGATCTTAAAAGTGTGGTATCAGGTTGGAGGGAATATAAAGTTGGATTAAACTGAACTTATTACGATGGCTTCACTAGCAGAGATTCCAGATTTAGTGTGTTTGTCTGGGGGGTTGGGAGTGACTCTAACAGTTTATTTATTGATTAACTAAAACCTCGGCCAAAAGGTAGCCTACACTTAAGGGAGTCAAACTGCCAAAACTTTCCTGGTGCCACAGAAAGGATGGTATGAGAAGACTAAGGAATACTACTTAGAATCTACAAGGCACTCAACAACAAAAGAAACAAATAGTACCATTAAAAAGTGGCCAATAAACGTGAACAGACATTTTTCAAAAGAAGACATACAAATGGCTAACAACCATAGGAAAAAATACTCAACACCATTAATCATCAAAGAAATCCAAATTAAAGCCATAATGAGATATCATCTTACACCAGCCAGAATGCCTATTAATAGAAAGTCAAAAAATAAGAGACATTGGCAAAGAGGAGAAAAAGGAAGACTTATACACTGTTAGAGGGAATATAAATTAGTATAACCTCTATGGAAAACAGTATGGAGATTTCTCAAAGAACTAAACATAGAATCACAACTCAATCTAGTAGTCTTACTACTGGGTATTTACCCAAAGGAAAATAAATCATTACATCAAAATGATACCTGTGGCTGGATGCAGTGGCTCATGAGCTGCCAAGGCACACTGATCCCAGCACTTTGGGAGGCCAAGGCAGGCAGATCACATGAGGTTAGGCATTTGAGACCTACCTGGCCAACATAGTGAAACCTCATCTCTGCTAAAAATACAAAATTATCCAGGCATGGTGGCAGGTGCCTGTAATCCCAGCTCCTTGGGTGTCTGAGGCAGAAGAATTGCTTGAACCCCAGAGGTGGAGCTTGCAGTGAGCTGAGATCTTGCTATTGCACTCCACCCTGGGTGACAAGAGTGAAACTCCATCTCAAAAAAAAAAAAAAAAAAGATACCTGTACTTACATGTTTACTGCAGCACTATTCATAATAGGAAAGATATGGAATCAACCTAAGTGTCCATCAAAAGATATTTGGATAAGAAAATGTGAAATATATATGTGCATGTGTGTGTGTGTGCATGTGTGTGTGTCCATGGAATCTTTATATCTTATAGCCATCAGAATTATAGAAAAGAAAGTATAATTCTATTCAGCCCTAAAAATAATGAATGCATGTATTAATATTTTGCAGCAACATGGATGGAACTAGAGGTCATTATCTTAAGTGAAATAACTCAGAAACAGAAAGTCAAATACCACATGCATTTTCTTATAAGTGGGAGCTAAATAAATGTATACATGGACATAGGGAGTAAAATAATAGACTCTGGAGACTCAAGGATGGGAAGGTAAAGGGGTGGGGGAATGAAGGTTCAAAAATCACCTATGAATACAATGTTCACTATTTGGATGATGGGTACACTAGAAGCCTAAACTTTGCTATTATATAACAAAACTGCACTTGTAGCCCCTCAATCTATAAAAACAAACCAAAAGACTCAGGAATAGCAGAATGATAAATTGGATTAATCATGCATGATATGTAAAACTTGCTTGCCCATCCACTGAATATTTCCCCTGTGAGGGTCTAGAGGGCACTCAAAGTTTTGAGAATATGATTTGTGAGAGAAGTCCTGGACTAGGCTCTCTGAATTCAGTGGAGGAATCACTCCCATTGATGAGATCAGATGGTGGTAGGTACCACGTGGTGACACATAAATTATTAAATACAAGCTAGGCATGGTTATTGTATTAGGCAACAGAACCAAAGCAGTAATAAGAATAGTAGCTGCAAAATGTATGGCATTGGCTAATTAGTTGTGGAGTTTCTAGAACCAAAATATATGGTAAACCTACTAAAGTCTTGATGTATAGACAGAAAGTTTTAATACTGGAAGATTGAAAGGACTACTGCTGCCATCATTAATGTAAAATACACCAGGTGGCAATTCTTCGGTTGACCACATTTAACTTTCTTATTGGGGCTGTGGAAAAGAAACATGGATCTTGGAGAATGACAGTGAATTACTGTAAGCTTAATCAGGTGACAAATTTCACTGCAGCTGCAATTCTGTTTTGTTGTTGTTGCTGTTATTTTGAAATGATGTCTTGCTCTGTCACCCAGGCTGGAGTACAATGGCGTGATCTCGGCTCACTGCAACCTCTGCCTCCCAGATTCAAGCAATTCTCCTGCCTCAGCCTCCTGAGTAACTGGGATTACAGGTGCCCACCACCATGCCCAGCTAATTTTTGTACTTTTAGTAAAGACGGGGTTTCACCATCTTGGTCAGGCTGGTCTCGAACTCCTGACTTCACGTGATCCACTCGCCTCCAGCCAAAGTGCTGGGATTACAGACACGAGCCACTGTGCCCAGGCTTACAGCTGCAATTCTAGATGTGGTTTCATTGCTGGAGAAAATCAACACATGCCCTGGCTCCTGGTGTTTAATAATTGCACTGGCAAAGACTTTTATCTATAGCTGTCATTAAGGTCCATCAAAAGTAGTTTGCTTGCTGTTGATTAGTAACATACCTTGACTGTCTAGCATCAGCGCTATGCCAATCAGGCTCTCTTGCAGAGCCTTCGTTGTGT